GTTTTTTTTTTTTTTTTTTTTTTTTTTTTTTTATAAATTTAGCAGCATTTCGATAATGGTTTTTGCCTAACACCACTACCATTATTTTCCTAAATTTAAGCCTCTTTTTTTTGAGTATTTTTAGTGATCTATTAGCTGAATAATTGTTCCATTAAAAAATATAGAAAAACCCAATGAATGAGTTAAGGTAAGCAAAAAATATCAAAATTTTTTTTTTTTACTCACAAATGTGTGTCAAAATTGATAAATTTTTTAGGTGTACAGAATTAATAATGTTGATATATGTGACGAATTTGGTTGGGAACGACTGGAAGAAACTTTTGGTTCCGGGATAACCCATACCTATGGAAGTTTGTTGTTTGCGTTACAGTATTGTTTACCGTTATTTGTGTTATTTATAACTTATGCATCCATTGGTATCAAAATGTGGAATCGACAAATTCCTGGAGATGGCCGATTTAATGGTGGTTTTACTAAGCAACGATATAAACCAGTACAAAAGGTTGTTAAAAATAACATTAGAATTCTAAAAAAAAAATTTAGTTGCTAATCGTAGCATATACTTTTTCATCAATTCTCTTACTGACGTCATTTTTGCTGTTGTTCTAAGCAAATTTCGTGCAGGCTTCAAAAAAATGGAGTTGAAGTAAGCTAAAAAAAGAAGAAGAAAAAACAATTTTTGATTTTTTTGTTTTTTCTTGAACTTTAAAAATAACTAAAAAAAAATTTTTTAAGATGGTACGTATGGTATTGTTGGTTAGTGCACTGTATGCATTCTGTTGGCTTCCACAGAATTTATTAATGAACATTCTTATACCGTGGAATTCCGACCTGACATCTCATCCATATATTTTATATTATTGGTATGTCTTCAATTAAAATTACTGCCAATTTACATTATCAATCGTTTTCAAGAATTTTTTTTTCTTCTTCAATTTTCCTTAACCTTAATTTCCGTCTCGTGACAATAGTGAAAAATTTAACTAAATTTTTAATGCTTATCTCAATTGGGAAAAAAGAAAAAAAAAAAGCACAAATAGAATTGTGATGAGGAAGTAAGGTTTAAAAATAGTAATTGAATTCAAAAATGCTATTTTTAATATGTTTGAAAAGAAAAAAAAAATGATTTGCTCAGAAAAAAAAAAAATTACAGTTTTACTGCTAAAATAATAAACCACTGCTTGACACTTTTTTTTTTTTTGTTTTTACTCATCTTTTTTTACAAACTCGGAGTTTTTCATTTTTATTTGTTCCCTACCCAAATACCGTTTGCAATCACTTTTTGAACAGTTGAAGCAATTTAAAAATCATTAAATTAAGTTAGAAATAAATTAAACATAAATCACTACAGATTT